ATTTCTACTTCAGTGACTTATACAAAACTCAGGGTGAAGCTAAAATTAACACTCCCACATCCTGAACATGAACACCCTTTCTTCTCTGCCTCCTCATAGCTGCCTCACAATCATACTGTGTTACTGATTATAGGGTTGCATTTACTTCAGTCCTTTGCTGCAGAGGTTCCCCTGATATTTCCGAAAGTGTACACCAGATTGACTATTGGTTCGCAATTACTTAGTCTTATGTTTGCCAAAAAATGCATAAATTTTATAGTAAAATGATGACCCAAGGCAAAATAATTCCCTCCCAAGCCATGGCTGCATGGAGAGATTTGGTCCAACTGCTCTCTGAAGTAGGTAGTGCTGGAGTGAAGCAGTGAATAGGGCCATGAAGGACTGAAGAGCCTCTTGACCACAAATACCTCACACCAAGAAAAACATGGATGAACTGCTTCTTTCCTTCTCCTGGGCTGAATTACAGTTCAGCTACTCCTGGTCCCTGGTGTGCCAGAAGTATTTGTCCTCACAAGCAACCATGGTTTATCTCAGGTTCAAGAGGGTGACTGTGTAAAGCAATTACCCAGCACTCATTAAGATGCAATGTTATAATTAGTAACACAACGTAACAATCAGGAAGATAAAAGAAGGCTGAGAAGTAAGAGTAATTTATATTTGTATAACACAGGAAGGAAAAATAACCTCTGTTACTCATCAGAAACACTAAACAGAGATTTTGCAAAGTGTGGAAGAAGACCATGTTCTTGACTCTGTAAGGGAAGTGAAATGTAATTACCCAAGCTGGAATTTGGGCAAAACATGAAGATTAATTTCCAAAAAAAGTAACTTAAGATCTTGAATAGGTACTAGTGCTATTGAAGGATTCTTATTTTATATTTCTGCTGCAAGAAACACTTATGGCTGTAAAAAGGATCTTCAGTTTTCCTTCTCACCTGAAAAAAAAACAATAATATTTGAAAAAAACAAACCAAAACAAAACCAAACCAAACAGTTCATCATTATTAAATTGTTCTAATATTTTTCCAGTATACATTCCATGTTCCATCCACCTGCAAACATTTTTCATTATTTTTTTAAGAGTTGTTCATTAAAGGTAGTTATTGCTACTCTACTCTAAAGTAAACGCCAGCTAGGAATATGATATAACTGGTTCCTAGTAATGTAAGACATTATTCAGCCATTCCCATCTATGTGCTGCTAACTAAACAATCTCCATTTGAGCGGGCTAGAGCATGAAAATGTAGAGACTAAGCAGTCCCTGGGCACCACTAGTGTGTATTCCAGGGCAGGAAAAAAATGAGAGGCAACAGGTTTTCAAAGAATGTAATCACAGGAGAAAATTTTATCACTGAATGTATTAGTCTAAAGAAATTGTATTGGGATAGTTGAAAAAACCTCAGAGAAGGAGGTAGCATTGTCCCATTGTAAGTCAGTTGCTCTTTAGGAAGTGACTTCTTGGGATTTTCGAAAGCTCTGATGATCCTCTAAGCTATTTATGTTCTTGTGACTCACTGGTTTTAAAAAAATACATTTTTTTTTTTTTACATCAGTTTAGACACCTTAATACTCCCAAATACGGATCAATGTGATCTGAAATACAGTGGCTACTCACCAGGGAAGAACTTTGCTATCCTATTGATTAGAAATTAGCTGCTAAGTACATATGATATTCAGGATTTTAGAGTTTATTCTGCTTTCAGGGAAGCTTTAGTTGTTGACTTTAAAAGGAATGAAGTCAATCCACTACTGTGTACACCTGAAAAACTTAACTTCAGTGACTAAACCTACTAACCAAGGATAGCAGATTTCATTTGGGAACACTTTTACCAGTGAGAGCAATCAGGACATTCAAGGCTTGTTTTTGCCTGTATTCCCCATCCGTTCAGCTTTCTTATTTCTTTCAAAAAGGAAGCTTATACTTCTGCACTCTCCAAAAATAGTTTTTAAAGAATGCAGTCTTCTTTAAAAGCTGAATAGAAACAATTCATCAAATAAATATATACAGCTAAGTTTTTAACATCTTTGTGTCTAATGAACTTGGGAAGGTGTTCACAGTTCTATGCTGCTTAAGTACATACAGTATGTGGGAAAATGGTTCCTCCCCCCCCCCAAAAAAAAGCATTCCTATGGGCTTTAATGTTGTCTCTTTATTTGGTAAAGTTAATATATGCATTTCTGTTTGCATTCATATATCAGGATGCCACTCCTTTAGAATAAAGTGGTTTGTGTCCAAAACATAGAGCTTTTTCCTATGCAAACAACTGAGGGCCATCAACTTGTTCTGGACAGTCATTGCTTTATGCTGCTGGGCTGGAAATACAAAGTGACGACTTTTTTCTTTCCTTCATTCTTTCCCCTTGAGAAATGTTTGTCGGTTTTCAAACTGTTCATTTCCACTTTATTCTTAAAGTTAATGAAAAGTGCTTTTAAAACTACTGACAATGGATATAGCACAGTGAAGACTGTCCATTACATAAAAGAATAATTTTCTAGACCAGCAATGAGTAAGAAGAAGGTCTACATGGGAAAACAAAAGATGAATGTACTTCTATCTAGACAGGAGGCAAAATGCTTATGTAGCTTTTGAATAGTACAATCTCAAAGGATGTGCACGTCTGGGGCTTGACTTGAAGGTCACCCTGAATTTAGCAAAAAATTATAATCTAAAGCCTTACAAAAATAAATGGTATTCCTTGGTATTTCTGTCTGGGAGAAGACAAAATTTGCATGATTACAGGAAATCGGTTCAAACTGCAGGCACTCGTCTAGGTATACCAAAACTTGGATGGGCTGTAGTAGAAAGCAAAGAAAGGTCATCTAGTCTCCTACAGACTTTCTGCTTTGGAACATGCTGAAGCCCATTATTGGCAAAACTTTTACACTATCACCACTGACAAAAAGTTAGCAGCCACAAGAGCCTAGTAGCATGAAGTAGCCTTGGGTTGAATTAAGTCAAACTTGGAAGATATGTGACTTTCAGTGGTGCTTATATATTGAGTTTGAAGCTGAGGTGCCAAATACTCTTACAATTCTAGATATTGCAAATATATAATTTTAATAAGCTTTTTGAGATACATGTGTTTTAATTTTAATAATGTAGTATTAAATACAGATTTTTTTTTCTTTCTTGATTGACCTTTAGATCTGTTGATAACTAGGAAGCAAAAGTGGGCTACTTGTTTTTTTTCTTTCCCCCTTTGATTTATATTGATTTATCAGAACTCACTGGGGACTGAAAGACAAGAAAATGGAGATGAGGTTAAAGAAAGGTTAAGCACAGCGTCAAAGCCCTTTTCACAAGCAAAAAGGTTTTATGTTCTTTAAAATCTCAGCTGCATACCCTGTACAGAATAATCACTATAATTAAGTGATTGTCTCCCTTTAGAAAAAAGTTGAAAATGACATAGAGGAATGATAAATTGTTAATTAATGATATGCTGTTCTGTTTCACTTCTGATTACACCTCCTGCTGGGCACGACTAGTCTATTTGCTTCTAATCTCTGCTGTGAACTCATTCACAATTCCATGCCTTTCCGCTATCATGTTTTCACCCTTTCTGACTTTCGTGATGACCATATGGTACAGAACCACTGTAGGTTCAGTTGATAATTTCATGGTGTCAGTATTCTGGGGAAAAGATGCCAGTGATATCCAGTAGTCATGCTTGGACATGGTTGTCCCACCATGGAAATATCTAAAATTACCATGAAAATGATGAACTTGTTCCTGAAGGGTGTTTTCAAATTAGGATATGGTAGAGTTCATCATGACCATGAAAAATGTATTACCTTAGCTTAAAGACAGAGTTATTTTATCCACAAGCTTGTCTTTTTACAAAAGACCCATTTAAGATGGGTAGCTTGAAAACAGCAGTTCGAAGGAATAACACTTTTTAATTCCATATTAAAAGTATAAGGTGAGGTGTCTCATTTCACATATGGATGTAAAAGGGCACAGTACTAAAAAATGCATTTTTAGCGATTTGAATTCAGAGTAATTTAATGGACAAACTCTCCATTAATGCCAGAAAGATACGTGTTCTTTGATCCCTGGTTGTTTTCTGTGGATCTGATAGCTATGTACTTATTCACTTTACCATTTGGCAGTATTTATCTTGACCGGGTCCTTTGAATTTAGCCTGTGTCTCTCTGTCTCCTCCAATGATACTTCTAGCCGGCTGAGGAGGCTCACACTGGGACTCTAATATGATGAGTTTCTTCTCCAGCTAGGCTATGTATGTACCATTTATAGGCTGAAGTACCACAAGTCAGTTTTTAATTCACTTGTTCACTGTGATATATGTGGGGTCAAGGTAGCAGGGAATGATCTAATTTATTCTCTCTCCCTTAGCTGTTGCCCTTTGCCAGTATCACAGTTACAAAGGTGGCCAAAGGAGAAAGACATGTTCTGTCTTCCCTGTAGGAGGTATTATTTTCAGATCATTTGCTTGCTCAAAAAAAAAAAAAAACCCAAAAAAACAAACCAAAAGACAGTTTCTACATTAAAAATTCAGGGGACTTGGTGACTTTCTGAACTGAGAGTGAATGAGCTGGACTCTCCAATTCCCAACACAGAGTCACAAAACCCCAGTAGGTTGGGAGGAACCTCTGGAGGTCTCCAGTCCAAACTCCTTTTCAAAACAGAGTAACTTCACAGTTCGGTAGGTTTTGGGGGGCTGCATACTCCTGCCTGCCAGGGATAGGTGTATAAGCCATCGCTGTTCCAGGCCAAGATTCCAAATGTATTTTTGAAAAGTGGATGCACTAACAGTCGGGAGATATAGCTCATTTGAGAGGTAACAGTTAAGCACTGCAGTGAGAAAGTGGGTCTAACTGTGTATTTTCAATGGCAATACATTGCATATGGCTTATTGCTTTGTAATTTTCTCATTATCCTTATTAGTGTAATATAAACATAGGACTGACAGCTTTCTCTGACTTACCATGACTGGAAAATTTAGAAATGTTGCTTACAATTACATCCTCCCACAGATGGAGAACTGTACTCCGGCACAGCAGCAGACTTCATGGGCAGGGACTTTGCCATTTTCCGAACTCTGGGGCATCATCATCCAATCAGAACAGAGCAGCATGACTCCCGGTGGCTAAATGGTATGTAAAATGTACATTTATCCGGTTACATTCATCTAGCCATTAAAGACTAGCACACAGCTTCGTTCCAGCAACATCTGTGACATATACACCCCTCTTTTATTTGGAGCAGAATTTTGTCTTAAACCAGTTAAACTAATAAAAAATGATTTATAAAGAAGAATTTTTTGGTTTAATTACATTGAGATCTGTGCAGTGTGATCAAATTTAAAACATATACAGACACTATGGCTAACACAGTCGTGCCACAGGAGCAGATCGCTGTAGGCTACAAGTAGGACAGAAGCTCAAAGCTTGTGGAGGCATCAGCCACACGTCAACACAAAGTAGCTACAGAGCCTTGGCCACGACTGTGCTTTGTACAGGCTTTAATTTTTGGCTGGATTGAAGGGAATCTGACACCAGCCACCAAAGTCCATCAGAAAGTGAATCAACAGTGCTTCCTGAGCAGTTCAGAGCTGACAATAGTTTGGAAAAAGTGAAAGGGGTCCTTGGCATTCCCTATTGGGTTTCAAAATATTCAATAGTTTAACAAGGCACAAGAGCTTACGTTATTGTATGGATATTACTAATCAAGCCTGTAGTTGGTTGTTTGCCTGTATGGGGAGAGAGGCATAGTTTCAGAGAAAATCTGTTTTTGGCTTCATGTACCAAAATACTTTAAAATGCATCTGAGTACTTCATCCAAGTTCTTCTGAAGTTAAAATTCCAATAACTTAAATGGAATTACACTTGGCTTTAGCTGTACAAGGATATGAGCATTTTGGAAATGAGAATTAATCATCTGAAAAAGCTGACATTTGATTTAAGTGAGCCAGTAATACTAACTGTAGTTACTCTGAGTTAATTTATATTTTAATTTTTGAAGAGTTGACTAGACACTTTTGCTGTACACGCTTCTTGCATCTGGACTCCTGTTTTTGGATTCACGGAGTATTTTTCACTCCTAGCCACATTATTTATGCCTGTGCTGAGGTCCGGGTTTTCTTGTGTGGTTTTGCAATTTAGTGCAAACTGTTCACACAAATTTTTAATGTATAAGAGCAGACTATGTTTTAACAACACAGTTTCTTATTAGCGACAGTCAGGAACTTCTGGTATCATACTGGTTATCATATTAGCTGTATACACAGTCCATAACAAAACCACTCCCTGACTCAAAATTAAAACCACAAAATGCTATTGCAGATGGGATAAACAGCTCTATATATGATATATGCATTGGATATATGTATCAGATAAATGTGTGTATGACAAGTTGTATGAATCTGACTTTTGTCCTGTTAAATTTAGTTTTGCCATTATTCATGTGAACTACTGTGAGGACAGATTCAGGTCTATCACATTTCATTTCTACAGTCTGTGCTTGCCCAGTAACCCAGAAATATTGCTCATTGGTTTATTTTATTATAATAATAGACAAGATTTCTAGACTTCAGGAGACAGTAAAGTATAAGGGTTACAGACATATCCATCTATCTTTGTACCTGGTAGAGTAATATGTTCAAGATAACACAACACCCACTTTTGTTTTGATAGTCATGATGACATAAAGTCCAGTCATGCGAGCAAAATCTGCTTTTGTGCACTAGATTTGCACAATGACAGCTGAGTCAGGAGGATTTATGCAGTGGGAAAGCACAGCCATTGTCCACAGCCCCTGTACTTCATCGCTGAAAATGTGTCATTTGTTTGTGGATCTGGTTATCAGTCTTTCAGCACTAAATGTGAGAACTACTTTTCCCAAATTAGCACTAAGGTTACATCTGACAGGGTGCAGAAACCGCAACTGCTTTATGCTCGAGATGGGGAGGAGAAGACAGTTGCACGTAAAGAGCTGACAAACCTCAAGCTCCCTAGAATTTAAGTGTCGTCCAAAATAAGCATAAAAGCAGAAAGGCAGCATTTATCGTATTACGGGGTAAAGATGAACTTCAGCTTTAGGTGTAGTTCTTACCTATATTGCTGTATGGAAAGCTCCAAACTAATTTAAAAACAGGAAGAATCAAACTGAGGCTTTTAGAAATATTCTCATAACTGTCTGTAATTTAATAGAGAATGATCCGTAAGTACATTTTTGAAATTTATCTCTCCATTACAACTTGATAAGCTTACATTCCTAATATGGAAAAGTTGGCTTTGAATCTGCACTACAACGTTCCCATTAAAGGCTTTAAGACTTTAGTGTTAATTTCCCAGTGATAAGGTCCTGGCAGCCTTTCCACGCAGTACTCGTCATTTCAGCATCTGACAGGGAAATCCAAAAATGATAATTGTTTGGGTTTGAAACTCTGCAGGCATGCTAGTCCTTTGATCATTTTTTTTTCTTTTATCATTTGTCTCTTTTAAATATAGTTATGTGTTTGCATGTCTTTAAAGCTTTTAATGAAAAAAGCTCTCATCGAAGGATGAAGTGTATTCTGCTTTCTTAAAGATCTGTATAAATGAGTTTTGAACGTCAAGTTTGCAGAGCTTTATACATTTTTTTAGTAAAAATATGGATTGCTGCATAGGGGTGGGTTTGCTTTTCTAGTTGTTTTCTACAGTGTGCTTAGCCTCAGGTTGAAAACCACTATTCTAGTGGACATACACTGAAAGCTGGATAAGAACAGCAGTTCTGATCACACTCACAAACTCCTCATTCCCTTGGAGTTTAATAGCTAAATGGTGAGACATCTAGTTGTAAGTCCTTGCTAATGTTTACTTCATTGAGAGCAGGAACTTGAAACTGCTTTTCCCATACTGAGGCTAAGGTCAGAGCTAACAGGGTGCAGAAAACACAGCTGTTTGGTACCAAAAATGGAGAGAAGATATTAAGAGCTTGCAAACTTTTCTCAGAATTTGAACATCATTCCAAAATGACGTAAAAGTAGGAAAACATTGCACAGAGCAATTAAGTTTTTTGGATTTAAGTATGACTAGAGCTCCTACAGAGATCACACAGACACTTTTTGGAAATGCCCTACCTTTTGTAAGAAGTTAAATGTTGCTAGAAAGAGGGCTTTGAACTTAGCCCAGCCCAAGGGAAGGTGCTGACCAGCAGCTCTTAAAGACTTTTTAAAGTCTTTTAAAGATATTAAATACTGGCAGGCTTCTAAAAACATTTCATTTTGTATAAATAATTAAATGGTTACCAAGCCAAACAAAGCAAGGGAGACTGATTCTATAGCCATGTAGTCAGGGCATTCATCTAGAAGGTAGGGAACCATACATCAGTCACTGTAGCAGTGTATATTTAATTATTGATACAGAGTTGGCCAGATGTGACATGGAGGCATTTGCAAAAACACAGTAAAATAAGCTGGTGCTTAGGGAAGTCATCTTGGATAGGAAAAGCTGCCCCCAGACTGAATCATGTACTTTGTTACAAGCCATGTGCGTGCTCACCAGGCATGTTATTGGCTCCTCTGGTAAGGTCATGGAGTTTCTCTGCTCAAAAAGCTTTGACAGTGTCAGTTGGTCCCAGTGAGGGTTAAGAATAGTTTTGAACTCTTAGAAAAAAAAAATCTTGAAATTGAAAAAGCATCTCCTGTCCAGCTTTACTGAGTAGCAGTGGCTTTGATGTTACACATACATCTTACAGAATCTTGCCCATAGGCAAACCCCATGCTTTCTTTTTAGATGTGCCATTGCCTCTTACTGTTCAGAGCCATCAGAAACCAGTGTTATTTCAAGAAAGCGTAGCTCAGGTCCTGCTTCTATGAAGTGCTTCAGCAATAAAAAAAGATGAGTAGGCGGCCCGAGCAGGTCAGAGCAGCTTCCCCTGGTACCAGGGAGTTCCCTGGTGAGCTGCAGACGGCGTTTACTGTACACCATCCGTGGCAGCATTCATGCAAGAGCTGAGGGCATGGCTGGAGGCAAGAAGGCAGAAATGGCAGTTCAGTGTACCAAAGCAAATGCTAAGCTATGCAAAAGCAATGCACTGAAGGCAGTTTTCAAGCTCAAGATTAGGGGAGTGGAAAGAAAGCTTGGAGCTGCTCTCATCTTCCCTGCCTTGAGTACAGGGGATCTGGCCTTAAGTTGTTAACATTTTGTAAAATGAATAACCATAAACATTTATTTTAAAAGCAAAACAGAGTTGGGCTACAGAAGACTTGAAAGGAAATGAAATCACAAAAACTGCATTAAGGTAGCATTATGAGTCTGGTTTGCACCCCAGAAAAGTGAGGGAATACTTGTCTCGGTCACTCTATTTACTAGACCTGGGGTTAAGAGAGACTGTCAGTCTGGATTTCCAGCCTTGGTTTGGAATTTCCTTGATTTTTATGGGTTTAAAACCAGCTCTATGATATTATTTTAGCATACTTTCCATGGCTTAATTTTTAAAGTAGGGTAATAGCTGTGCTTAGTCCCCTGGGGTTATTGTCCTTGGTAATCTTTACTTTACAGTGATATAAACAGCTGAGAATTATAGAAACTGAGCGACTGTTCAATAAAAAAGAAAATGCCCTCTTAAATTTCACAGGCTGCAAGGCAGGAAACATGGACTTGATACTCTCCTGGCATTCATGCAGACCTTTAGCCATCACTTTATGTTATTTCCACTTATGGCAGTTTGTAGGATGTCCCAGCACTGGCAACATACACACATAATTTTTAATATATATGTATTGCACATTAGGGGAATGTATGGCAAGAGAAAGACAAGATTGCAGCTAGTTTATAGGGTTTTTACCTCTCTAATAAAAATGTATTGAATGTGTCAAGATGTTTGGAAATGAATATTTGTTCTCTTGCAATTACTCTTGCTGAGATTTGGATGTGTTCATTTGCTGCATCCTTGAATCTATAATTTGTCTTTGGTCACCCACATCAAAACCTTTTTCTCACCTATACATACCCACTGATGTCCCCCTCTTCTGTGCCACTCCCTTGTCCCTAAATGCCTTCCTAGTTTCCCACTTTCCAGCTCACCTCCTTCAAATTCCCAGTCCAGATATACAGAAGGCACTAAAATACATGCCACCAAAGGTGAGCAGATGTGGAAGATGGCTGACCTG